CCCCCCCCCCCCCCCCCGGGAGCACTCCTTATAACGGCCTACACGGAGAGGCTCCGACCGAAAGGCGTCCCTTTTTCGGCTACAGGTAAATAATACGTATATTTAAAGGGTAACATTTTTTTTAACGGAAGGTTTACGAAAGGGGTACCTTTTCTGTCAAAAATGGTATATAAAAGCCGTAAGGGGTTGGACCTTAAGGCGGAGCCTCAAGGTATAACACTTTGCTTATTCCCCCCCATCCCCCCGGGAATTTCTGTTGCAATTATAAAACATAAAGACTTACACTGTATTCCCCTTTAAATGACAACAATGTCTTATCTGTTATACTTTAAATAGGAAAGAAATGACGCGGCAAAGGTAACTGCCTATTCATTACCAACTGGGGAGCTGTTTACCTAAAGGAAGGAAGATCCTAGCACCAGGAAGACCCTGGAAGGCGGAACAACTTTTCGTTGGGTTTACATACAAAAATTTCGGTTCGTATAGAGAAGGAATTGCAGATTAAAGATCACCTACCGAACTACTCGCCGCCATTTTTGTTCTGTTTGTCCTTAGTACTAGGATCTTCCTCGCGAAAGCAGTTTCCATGGTGCTAGGATTTTCCTAATACTGGGATCTTCCTACCCCCTTATATATCAAGAGTATTAGGAAGATCCTTGCGCTAGGGACAAGCACAACTTTTTCCGTGTTAAGTGAGTACAGAAAACATGTGGCGCTAGGATTATCCATCTTCTAGGATCCTCCTGGTGCTAGGATCTTCTTCCCTTCACGTAAATTGTAAACAGCCCATAAAAATGTTCTATTCCCATTATTTGTACCTTACTTACTGTCTATTCCTATATAAAACTAACTTGTAAATATACAGTCTTGCTGTTTAAATAAGTAATCCTACAATCAACGTTGTGAAAACGTTATCAAAAGAAATGAAGAGCATTCGGTAAAATTGATTTGGTCTATAAAAATGAAAAGCAAGTTAACAAAATTTTTTACCTGAGAAGTGTACCTTTTTACAACAATTAAATCCACGATATTTGCCCAAATATATTTATCCTAATTTAATACATTTTTAACTTTAAAAGTAGGTTCTGAGGCAAGGTCATTTAATAAAATAATATTTGACTTTCAACTCTGACAAATTGTAATGTTCGTTATTGACTTAAATTGCTTACAGATTTTATTTGGAAAAAAAAGAGTCATTCAAATAAGCAAGAGAGGGTATCAATTTCACAGTGAAAATAAATACAAAATTAAAGGATGTTAAGGATCTTTCAAGATTGCGCTTGATCAAAGAAAGTGTTATTATTAATAATCAATAAAATTAATAGTTATTATTACTGATCAGTCCTGTTTGAGATCCTGTTTAGAATGCAATGTCCAATAATTTGTTATAGTATAACCAGCTGAATGGTGGTAGTTGCTCGGTGTTTTAAGCTTGGTGCAATCACCAAATGACATGACACAAAAGATTGAAATAAACATTGACCAATCATCTATGCCACAACATACTGACTAACCAACAGTAGTTTCTGCAACAACAAGAAACGCCCACTGGTGTAGCCTGCCTGGCTGCCGATTTTGTTGGGAAAGGAGGTTGTGAAGGACAGTATGTTTCCACCTCATTCTCTTTACGGCTTTCCCACTTGCTCATACACCCCATGTTGCCTTTCGCCATCAAACCCGGCAGCTACACATGCTATACTACTACTGGTGTTTCTTGTTTACAGCGTGCGTATGCTTGGATAAAGTTCCTTGCTCATAACAAAAAAGCAACTGACACCTAGTTCAGACCAACTATGCATAGATACTGTATTTTCATCCTTTTTTGAAAAAAAAAAGTTAGTAAGACTTCAGGCGCTTGCCAAAAGCCAGAACTGGCCTGCCTGTTGGACCAGCTTTTTTTAAAATAAAATTGGTTATTTTTGAAAGTTTTTGCTTGATACATTTCTACCTTTCATACAATTTAAGGAATGGGCTTTCCTTTTAACTGTATGCAAGGTAGAAATAGTATGGTAAATTCTGCCTAACAGTGGAATAATTATCTTTATGACAGGATTGGTCTAGCCATCTATTTCTGACTTATGGTAAGAACCCTTACATTCACATCATCTGTGTAACTGTTGCTGCTCACTGCACACTAACTTTTGACTGTGAGTACAGCTGGAAGTCACGCTTTCAGGTTTTTAGTGTGCTTGGAATACTTTAGCTGAAGAATATCTCCAACTTCATCAATGGCTTCAAGGGCCTAAAATGTAAGAGGAAAAAATGTTAAATCTAAATGAGGATATGACCACAACAGTTTTTTTGTAAAAAATCGCAATTTGAGCAACATTTCAAATTTAGGCCGAAAAAGAATTAATTTCAGGGTTTCAAAGGGATTCAAATCCATGGCCTCTGCACAAATTAGTGCTTCAGTGCTCTGCCACCTGAGCTATGAAGACCCATACAAGTACACGTATGTACATTGGGAGAAAGGTAATTATGTTGTTTATTTCATTTAAATACATGAAAGTATGGTCCATGTAATTGACCATAGAATGAAGATGATGTGAACTGCCACAATATATATTAAGCAAACATTTTAGCTTCTCCACACCAGGGTTCATGCAAAAAATTACAACCCTTTTTTAAGCACTTTTCAAGGACCACATTCAATTTTCAAGGACCAGCTACCTGGAAATTAATTTCACAGATTGTACAAAAATGCATATTCCCAGTCCATTCTAACAGGACTTTAAAGGCTTGAGCTGTTTGCTCCACCAACTTCTCTACATTTTTCGGTTCACTTGTCTTAAATTGATAGTTAATTTTAGCAAAAAACAAAAAAAGGCTTTATCTAAGTCACCTTTAACTTCTCTGAGCTATGATTTACATTCTGTTAGTGGACAACCAAAAAGGTTTAAAAACACTTTCCAGGCCACTAAATTCAAGGTTGAAGAAAATTATGGAATTCAAGGACTTTTCAGGGACTTCCCCTAAACTTCAAGAAATTTTTAAGACTGTGAAACCTGCAAACTATCACTGCTGTCACTAAGATTTCAAGTTGTCAGGTACAGCAGTTTAGTGGGTGGGAAACTGCTGAGCTACAAAGTTCTTTATGTTTTACAGTATTTTCCTTTTGTTTCCTCTCATAGTAGCCAGGGGAAATCCCAGGCCCGTGGCCCTTTGTCACTTATGGTGTAACCATTCACATAATAAACCCTCTCTGGTAATACTTTGGCATCAATAATGTTCAAATTCCGATATTCACTTTCACACAATAAAATTCAAAACTTTTCTTGCTTTTGATTTTGGTCATTCAAGGGAGTAAAACAAGTCAACTGATGACAGTAAATGTATAAATTAAAAGAGTTACAGTCAATTTTGTTTTTGCTATAAGCTACAGTGTATTGTTGTTTTTACTTGCCTTATCCAGCTGTTCACGGGTGTGCGATGCTGACATGCAGAACCGGGTACGAGACTCAATCAAAGGAGTGGCAGGAAAGCCAACAACAACAACAGCGACATTCCTCTTTAACATTTCACGGCCAAAGGCACTAAACAACAAACAGAACAGGGACATGAGAACAATCATGTTACACTCCAATCAATCAAAAATGATATTCATGACATGATGACTTAAATACTTGTACATCAGACAATAATCAGTGCCCTTGTTAACAAGACAGTCCTGAATAATTCACTGGCTGTTAACTTTTTCAAGCAATATGCTGGATAAAACTTATCAGAAGACATTTGTTTAATTAACACCACTCACATCACATGATTTCAAATCCTATTCAGAAAATTAATATTACTGGTAATGCTAAAAAATTTGATATGCTACCTTTGTAGGTCATACCATCGCTTAGTCACTTGATTTCTAAAACGACTAATATAATTCTCCCTGACCTATTTTCTCAAAAATAGCTCAAATCACATCTGAAAAATCCTACATATTTTTTGCACTCTGGCATAATGACTTAAATCATTTTGACCAATTCAACAAGCACTCTACCACAAGGTTAATAACAAACTACTGTCAAAATCTTGAACTAGATGTTAACACTTACGCAATTTTGGCAGGCATATAAAGAAGAAGAGGGATGACTGGTGAGGCATCATGACCATAAACAATAAATCCCATTTTCTTGAGTCTTTGTCTGAAGTATCTACAAAGAAACAACATGAGGTGTTGTGAAATCCCATCCCAATAATCTACATGTACACAAGAATTAATAGACTCCTTTTTACTGATACCAGGGTCGACTCATGAATAAACTAATCTCAGGGTGCAAAGAAAGTCAGTTTTACAGCCTGCAATTCGGGCAAGCTGTAGCTAACATGTACAAAGTCATTTCAACTAGCCCCACAACCCTTTTTGATTAGCAGGATTGATTACAATCCTTCTGTAATTTGAATTTCCCCCAAAAAACAGCACTTGCCCAAAGTTAAGAACAAAACTCACTAGCCCTATACAAAATCTACTAGCCCTGGGCTACTGGACATGACTTTCGCTGTAATCTTAACAGACCACATTGTATTATGGGATGCCAACTGGGTAAACCGGTATGTACATTGTAACAGTATGTAGTTCCCAGCTTGTGTAACCACTTGTGTTGTTCTCAAAAGGTTAAGATGCAGAGGAAAGGCTTTCTTTTTTGTCACATTTTATGTCAAATTTGTCTAAAGAGCATTTGAAGGCAGCAATAACTGTTGGTCTCCTGAAAAACAGGGCATAGATGTAAATTTAGACTTATTTTTATCTTTACTTTCCATGACTAGGAAGCCTGGACTTTGAATCCTCTTAATTATTAATTTGCACTCCCTTGCAAGCTAATCATTTTTGAATTTTACTTTGTCCAAATAAATCAACTGAACTGAACTGGCAAATGCCCATTTTTAAAACCCAACACAATGGTTAAAAAATCGCCATTATCTCACTCAAATCGTACATTAAACAAACTTTGTGTGAATTGTCCAAAAATGAAGGGGTTTGTGGAAATACATATACCCATGTCCCTTGGGCATCCCATGATAGTCTTTTGTTAATTATTATGCCTGTCAAATATTTGGCAAAAAGGTCTATATGTATTTTTCTCTTTCTTACTTGCTGTTTTCGGCCAAAGCAGTCAGTCTCTTCTTTCCTGTGAGAGAAGAAATAAAAATGTTGAGTTACCAAGCTTCTAATTTCTTTTCACAACATCACTAATTAATCAAACATAAAAAGTCATAAGAGAAACAGAAATGATCAGCAAGGGGTGAAAAGGTCTGTAATGTTAAACAAGTTTTCCTCATCAGCATTGCAGGCCTTTTTGTTTGGGTGTGTGAATTTGTCTTCTCATGTAACCATCAAGGAGTCTGGGCAAATCAAAGGGTGCTTCTTCTACACCTCCCAATTTTGGTCAGGGGATAAAATAAAAAAAGACATGAGCATGGCAGTACAAAGGTGAAGCAGATTTTGCCTTCCTAAAAATTGCACCACTATTGCTGGCTGCATTACACATCATCACGGGGAAAAGAGAAGAGAATTTACTGCTTGCTGACATTGGCTGAGATGTAGCTCATCATGGACCCTTTCCATTCAACCCAAAACTCTGGAAATTTCAGTTGTTACATCAAATGGAACGGACCATTTCGGTTTGGTCTAACCAGAATATTTGGGACCAGCTTTGAAGGTGGTCCACTTTGACTAGTCTGGTTATCTTGGTCGGTTGGACCGAAATGACCCGTTCCATTTGACAAAATTGTTGTCCCCAATACCACTCTTTTGTATCTTACTTACAAGAACAATAACCAAACACGTGGTGGCTTGGGTCGGGTCTGTGCAACTGGAATGTACTGTTCCACTGGGCACATGGAATTTCCCAAATTTCAAACCAGAATTTTTGTTGAATTGCCAACGCACTAAAACTAACCTTTATCAGTGCCATCTTCACCCATAATCATCTTCATAGATGAAATAATTTGCATGGCAACAGGTGGTGACATGGACGAAGCATATGCAGCACTGTGGGAACAACCTCTGATATGGTCAATTATCTCCTGTAAAATGAAACCAGTGTTAACCTATTGTTAGTTAAAGGGTGCAAATATAATTAATCATACAACAATATGGGAAATGCAACTTGGCAGCCTTGGGAAACATCTAAGCCCTCCCTACATGTACCTCTCTCATCAAGGACAGGAACTTTGAAGGTGTACTCCTAATAAAAATATATATATGTACTTGAATTTCATGTAGTAGAATATATACAAAAAGGTACTCATAGAATGTCAAGACCATTTAGAAGTGTTTTATGCCAAGGATGTTAAATTTGAAGAGTGACAGTGCACACTCAAGCACTTTGTGGACTTCTATTCGATCTGATGCTAAAACANATAGATGAAATAATTTGCATGGCAACAGGTGGTGACATGGACGAAGCATATGCAGCACTGTGGGAACAACCTCTGATATGGTCAATTATCTCCTGTAAAATGAAACCAGTGTTAACCTATTGTTAGTTAAAGGGTGCAAATATAATTAATCATACAACAATATGGGAAATGCAACTTGGCAGCCTTGGGAAACATCTAAGCCCTCCCTACATGTACCTCTCTCATCAAGGACAGGAACTTTGAAGGTGTACTCCTAATAAAAATATATATATGTACTTGAATTTCATGTAGTAGAATATATACAAAAAGGTACTCATAGAATGTCAAGACCATTTAGAAGTGTTTTATGCCAAGGATGTTAAATTTGAAGAGTGACAGTGCACACTCAAGCACTTTGTGGACTTCTATTCGATCTGATGCTAAAACATTTGGCTAAATATCAAGTTTGAGCATGGTTTAGTTACATGTAGGTGTCAAAGTTGTCAAGGACTGTTAAAACTGCTGATGACAAACCAGTACAATGGAGGTGGATCCACATGAGCTGAAACGCATAATTAACGCATTCACCCCTGACCAGGTGGCCTTTGGTAGAATAAATCTACCTCTCTCTGACCTCTCTCTAACAAACACCACTGCACAGTAGCAACAGCCACTTCAGTCTGTCCCAACTGCCAAAATAACTTCTCCACAATGGCCATTACAAGATCCACAATGCAAAAGCAAATGTGCCAATATTATTATATCCTACTTTGCATGCTTTGTTTTGTTGACATTTTTTTTTTTATTTTTTGAGCTGAAGATTTGGTTTCTGTTTCATTGACATTCTTTGATTGTGTCACATGTTTTTGAAAATAAAAATGTCCTACCCTTTCTCTCAAAAATGGTCTACCTTTCCATCAAGTCACTACTTTACAACAGCCAATTACCTCTGTCCCCCAAGTGGCCATTGTAGAGAGAGTTAAACTGCACTCTTACATGTAAACTCACCTTAGTTGCTGCAATATACCCTCCTGCTGCACCAAAACTCTTGGTAAATGTACCCATCATGATGTCCACATCATTAGGGTCCACTCCAAAGTAATCAGTCACGCCTCTTCCACGAGGACCCATGGCACCAATGCTGTGGGCCTCATCCAGAAAAAGGTATGCTTTGTATTTCTTTTTAAGGGCAATGACTTCCGGGAGTCTTACAATAGAGCCCTCCATACTAGAAAAAAATAAAAGAAAACAAAGAATTATCGCTTACTTTAAGGAGGTTAACCCTTACAAATTTTCCAGACTGGTATTGAAATATTTTGAATGAATAATAAAATATAAATATTATCATTTGTGATTGGATCTGGTTTTACATTTATACATACATTTAGTGATATCTACAGATCATACGAAAGCCGAATGTAATAATAATTGCTAAATATTATTTTCTACATCAATGGCAATGTGACAGTGTTTTCCAAAAATCACCAACCGAGTTGTCTCCATTACTATCACTAAGCTTGCACACTGTAGGGTCAAAAGAGCTTGTTTGAGATTTTTCATATTTTAGTCCTCAAAAAATGTGTGGTCAAAAATGCATATTTATGGCTTCACCAATCTTAGCTCACCTGTATACACCCTCAACAATGATAAGTATTTTCCTCCAAGGTCTGTGGGTGCGAGGTTGCCCCTGGACAACTGACTCACGGAGAATATTCTCCAAACTCTTCATATCTAAAGGCAGTTAAAAAATAATTATAACTTAACAAATTGTAAGAAATCTTACTGAGAAATATACAAAAAAAATCCTGTGTAAACACACATAAAGACATATATGAACTATATTTTCACAAATTCTCGAGTAGCAGAAAGGCTAATACATATTTCCATGCAACATAAAAGAAACAAAAAATAAAACTTGTTTAAATTACAAGTACATTTATACCTAATATGATTCTTGAAAGGAGACTGTCTTCATATGACATTTAAAACTACATGTACAGCTGAAGTTACAGAACATTTGCTTCTAATGTTATCTGAAGTAACAGAGAGGAGAAGTGTGACATCATGTTGCCCACATTGCAAACTTTCTGGATCTCAATAATCTTTCTTGACAGAGGCGGCCATTTGCATTGTTGAACGATGGAAGAAAAGTAAGAGCTTACAGTCTGTTTCTGAGTGCAATCATGCACAGGAAAGTCACCGATGTCAATTTTTTGTTTTTTTCTGTCATATTTGCAGGACCATGGTTAGTTGAGATCCAGAAATTTTGCTACCATGGACATGTGATGTAATGACGTCTCCTCTCTACACCGTGGGCACCAACTACTAATGAAAGATAACTGGAAGAATTCTTACCATTATGTTTGAAGACCTTAATTTTAGCTCCTGACAATCTAGCTCCCAATACAAGTGACGCATGGTTCAGCTCATCACTGACTATCAGGTCTCCTTTACCTACCAGGGTTGGTATGTTAGTTGAGTTGGTAGCAAAGCCCATACCAAACGTCATAGCAGCTGGTTTGCCAATAAACCGTGCAACAAGATGTTCTAACTCATCATGCAGGTTTTCCAGAGTACCTGCAGGGGAGAGAAACAGACCATAATTTGACCTGTAACATCTACATTAAAGGCACCCGGGGAAACACTACATGAACAAACAGCGTCCAAACAGTGCACCAAGCTCAATTTTTTTCAAAGTCTACCTAAAAGTATAAAATGGTCACCTGACATAAAATATTGGTCGCCACTAAAAAAAAGCCAGATGTAATTTTACACGAAGGGTTATACCACTGACCAAATTCATTACCAGTACTTCATNTGGTATGTTAGTTGAGTTGGTAGCAAAGCCCATACCAAACGTCATAGCAGCTGGTTTGCCAATAAACCGTGCAACAAGATGTTCTAACTCATCATGCAGGTTTTCCAGAGTACCTGCAGGGGAGAGAAACAGACCATAATTTGACCTGTAACATCTACATTAAAGGCACCCGGGGAAACACTACATGAACAAACAGCGTCCAAACAGTGCACCAAGCTCAATTTTTTTCAAAGTCTACCTAAAAGTATAAAATGGTCACCTGACATAAAATATTGGTCGCCACTAAAAAAAAGCCAGATGTAATTTTACACGAAGGGTTATACCACTGACCAAATTCATTACCAGTACTTCATTTTTCATGTGTTTTGCATGAAGCTGTTCAAAGTATATTGATCCTCACGTAAGCTTCTGAAGTATATTTCTGAAACAGTTTCCTTCCATATTAATTGATTCATATTTTGCCAAGTTTCAGTAGCTTTTTCTGCAGCAAATAGATCTCCAGCAGCAAAAATAGCCTTCAAATTTCTCAAAATGTCATCTACCTCGCACATCGTTGAAAACTCCATTGAATGATGAAATAAAAGAAAGGTTGTACTTTTCCTTTTGTGTAGCAGCTATTTATTTTAGACACATGCAAACCCATTTATTGCAGTACCCTGTCTGGCACGAAATTTTTGTCTGATCTCAATGGCGGCTACTAAAACAAGTCAAATCTACAATAATACAGTTTCCAGCATTGCTTTAATTAATACTGGAGTATTGTACACTTTGGATGAAAGCATGAAACTCTGATTATTTTTAAGAACAGACACATTTTTCCAACTTTATTTTTCACCAGAGAACGTGCAATGAATACTTTTTCTCATGGGAAATCTGTTTTCGCATCATACCTATTTGTCAAACAAATTCTTAACCATGTGATTTGATTATAGCCCTTGATGCTCATTATTTTGTAAACTTGCTTGACATCTAAAGAGCCGTTGCAACATGATACCCCCATTCTTGTTGTCATCAGACCCAGTTCCCACTCGTCTTATCAAAATGGATGCCCAACTATCAAGCCTACATCGCAATCGAATTTAGATGCCCCGTGGTTGACACTGGAACAACCAGGGTGAAAAGACAGATATTAGGGAGCTTAAGCAAAGGCGTTTTTGAGCGACGCACGTCAACCGGAAGTGAGGTCTTTTTAATTTTAAAGCACCTTGACACTCCCAAATTTGTATTTTTAAGTGTCTTAACTATTATAGAGACGAGTTGTCCTAAAATATGGGCAAAACCACTATCCAAAAATGAAAAAAAAAACACTTCCAGTTGACGTGCGTCGCTCAAAGACGTCTTTGCTTAAGTTCACTATTGTCTTGAATATGGAGCATAAATATTATTTCTAGAGTTGCAAATTTTCATCTAAATTTAACGTTAGATGAAAAAGGGAACGTTGTACACCTTGGCCAAATTGGAGACTTTCGCTGCAAGTTTAGTTTTCAATATCTTTTTTCACTCCCCATGACAACTAAAATGGTTGCAGCGTGGGGCGCTGGCAAAGAAAGCTGTGTCTAGTAGCCCAGGGCTAGTGGATTTTGCAATCAGACTGGTCAATTCTGTTGTTAAAACGTTTGAAAAGCTGTTTACGATTCGTTTGTTAGCCACTAGTCTATCCAATCAATGGAAAAGCACAAGTGTTCAAAATCATAAAGAAGATTAATTACCCAGAAACCAGATTCCCAGAAATTAACAGTTGATCAATAGGGCAACTAGACTCTGAGACTAAATTGCCCCAACAAAATTTTTAGTCGCCCTGGGAATGTGGGCAACCCTTTGATGTCAAGCTCTGCATAATCTGGTTATGACAATCTGCAAGCCACAAATTTAATTCTTATCATAGATAACTGAACCTTTTCACCTTCACAGGAACCATAATAGCTTCATTGAAAAAGTGTACAAGTTTGAATACTGTATGAGTCTTTACCATACTCATGTCGTGGGCTACATCCTCCCACGCCATATTGTTTTACTGCCTCCTCTGCAGCCTCTGCACACGATCCAACATTCTCCGCAAACCCAAGGTAGTTGTATGAGCCAAGGTTGAGAGCCTTTGTACTTTGTCCAGTTTGCCTTGAAAAGGAGGCAAACATATGTAAGTGATATAATGATCATTCTTTTTTCAAAGCATGAAAGCCAGTAAAAGAACAACTCAACAAAGAGTTGCCTGCTATACCTGACTAGGTTTATTAGTGTCAAAACATGGAAGCTAACAGGATCACACTGGCAAGCAAGTAACAATAGCTGATCTAGACTGAAGCTTAGACCATCCAGTGCATATTTTACAGGTCAAAATTACATTCACATTGAAATTTTTAACCTAGGTTGAATCTTAATTTCCTTTGTCTCCTAGCCCTAATGCATCAGTTAATTCCACCTGCGCCCAGCCCCCCTAACCCCCCAACCCCCCACCCCTGCCCCCGGTTGACCCCCGGGCATTGGCATTTTTTTGCCTTGGATGGCAAATTACCGGGGGTGGGGACAAAAAAAGACGGCAAATGCCCCGTCCTCCGTCAACGCTGCAACATTTTTCATTGATCACACAGTCGCATAGCACCATTTTAGCATTTTAATGTTCGATTTTTTTGTTTCAATTAACGTCTTCCTTTGTAATAGTGCTAGGATTCTAACGACGCGCTAGGATTCTAACAATGACATGCACCAGTTTATGGTTTTAGTATTGATATAAAATTATTGACATTAAAATTAATAGAGTGCTGTAAAGTTATATGTTATGAACAGTTTTATAAATATGAAAAGATGTTCTGGCTGGGTGCAGGTGGAATTGACTAATGCATAATTATTCATGAATTGGGACTACGACACAAACAAAATCGAGAATCAACCTACAGCTGTAGGTTCAAAAATTTTAACCTGGATAATAATTTTGACTTGAAAAAAATATTCCCTAGAGCAGGATAATTAATGCATACAGACTAGCACATCATGCTTTTGTCTACAGCTTTACAGCTTCTTTGGAATACAGCTGTACATTGTATATTGTGGTTCAGTTTATACTTATTATCATAAAGAAATAAGCATACACAAAAACAAAGTCTGAACCAAATGACAGTGTAAATCAGATCAAACCAAGGATAAAATTCAGACCCAAATATTAATTTATTGAACAAAAACGCTGCAAAATAATAAAGGAACTGTGCAGTACAGCAGCTCAAACTTATGGAACAAGAAAAAAAGGCAAAAATTAGTATTCAAATTCTTCAAGTAACCAAGTAACTACAATATCCCTACATCAAAACAGCTACTGCTTTGATTAGAATAACAAAAGACATTAATACTACAACTCTGGTCAAAGCTCTTGGGACACTAACGCAACAGCTCATCAAATTGAGGCATCTTCCCTCCCCCCATTTCCCCTGGTGCAGTATTGACATCATGGTTTCAAGTTTTAATTTAACACAATCAACACTGCTTGGGGGAGAGGGGGACAGCAGAAAAAGCTCCTTATGAGAACATCCCCAAGCATTCTTAAGAGGTAGAATATGAGTTAACTTAGCAAAGTACATCTTTGTACCTAATTTCCTCAAGTGTCCCGAGATGTTTTGACCAAGGCTGTAGTTCGACTTGTTCCTACAGGACAACAAGTCAAAAAAATTTTTATCCAGTTAAATTCTGTTACCTGAATGACCATCCATAATCATCTGAAGCTCTATCAAGAATCTTGATAGTGTCACCTGGAACACTACAAATTGGCCTGTTCCAACAGTCTCGTATTCTAGTGTACAGATTTCTGGTGTAGAAGCTTTCAAAATCTGCATACAGGGGGACAAAGCCCTGAAAATTATAATAATAAAAAATCCATGTTACATAATATCATTATAATGTATATAATGTTACATAACATCATTATAATAATGTTACATAATATCTTTGCAAATGAGTCTCCAGTGGCTAATACACAGTTAATGCCTTAGGGCAGCTTGAACTTTTAACCGCATCTTCTCCACTGTGGTTCTTTTATAAAAAGAATTTTTCACTAGTATCAGAGTCAAACTCAAGCCAAAATTCAAATGTTCTTCAAGCTCTGAATTCTGCTGCCTAAATAAAGTGTGAATTTATTGTAGACGGGTTTTCACCTCATTATACAAGATTCTCAAGGTGTTGACAATAAAAGGAAATGAGGCTAAAAATTAAAATGCATGGATTCTTCTGAGTGACCCCCACAGCCCCCCCCCCACCCCACCCCCGAAAAAAGAAAATCGTAAGCTTGCGTCTTTGGTGTCACATTCTTCCTGGATGCATCCCTGTACTGGTGTAGGAAAACAAGACCGCAAACAACAATAAAAATTAGTTAATCCCCCTATAAGTATCCAAAATTTGCTTAGTTTTGTATAAAACTGTACAGTACTTTCTTCAGCTAGGCCATCACATAAAATAATTGATTATTTTACATAGAATTCCTGAAGATTAAATCTGTGTTGTTTTCTCATCGGGGTATCTGCAAGTATTTTGTAACCTCAACTTTACCTCATGTATGTTTCAGCACTGTATCCAAAAGTTTTGCCTATCAGAGAAAAGTATCTGAACATTGAATGTCCATATTTTTTTGAAAAACTGATGTATTCTAGAAAGAGTTCTGAGAGGGTTCCCCTTATCCTCCATATCCAAGGTACACATAATAATGATTTACACTACTATGAAATAAAACAATCTCTTTTTTAAATAAAACTTCTTGTATTGGAGTTATGTAATTGTATAAATTTCACAGGGTGACTTAGATGTGACAGTGTATGCTAAAAATTCATATCAGAGAGTATTTTCACTTGAATAGTGTAAGGATAAAAAACGTCATTTTATATATCCTTCAAGATGATAGCTAAAAACGAACATTGCCAAAAATTAAAATGAAGTCAAATAGTAAACAGCACATAACAAATGAAACATTGCATTCTTTGTCGATGACGACACACTCGGGTACACACTCGTCCCCGACAGTGCATAAATGCATCAAAACATTACGAAACTGCTTGTACAGTGTACGTGATGCGTGCCTCGTGTTTGTGGAAAACTAACGCAAACCCCAATTACACAAACAAATTTGTCCGGTGTACACTCTCAATATAAAGGTCTTTAGTTCAAGTATAGTAAAGAAAGCTTCAACCTTTAACAATAGCTTTTGGTTGACGCCTACAATCGATCGAGTCGTATCACATCAATTTTACGCTAGCGGACAGCTGACTGCAAACAACTCGTGCGATCTTGCAGAATTTCACTTCATCTGGAAATTCGATTTTAAAAAAAGAACCAAAAAACCCGTAACGTACCTTATTTCCGTGTTCCTTGGGCGCTTTTGATTTCTCAAGCCCGTATTTTCGAAGAAAGTCACGCAGGTAACCGAAGAGGATCAAGAAGAAGTACGACAGATAGGTCAACACTGCTACTTGGAACGGAGTATCTTCAAATTCCTCCACAAAAGAATCTTTGAATTCCTTTAGTTTTTCCTTTTCGTGCGCTGCAAACCCGTTCTTTTTGGCAGAAAAGCCATTTTTGTAGGATTTTTGCCCTACAGGGCTTGTCTTGTACGCTCCAGCGACCATCTTGAATGTGTCGAATGGTTCTGTTCCTTGCAAATCGTTCCCAGCGTTCTCTCCTTCCCCTTCCCCCGAAGGGCCCTGGGATATCAAGCCGCGAAATCCAATGTTGAGGGTAACAACTAACAGTTCAACACTTTTCGGCCATTTCTCATTAGCCTGCGATCAGGCGATCTTTCTTTTTTTCTTTTTTTTTTTTTTTTGAAGGGAAAAAGTTGAGAGTGAATGAAAATATATGCATGCCACACCAAGAGCCATAATGGCCACATGTATTATCTTGCGGCTGACACAAAAAAGGTCACGATCATATGTTTTGTTGTTGATACAAATTTTTATAAAAATAAAGCAGACATAGAGAAGAAGTGCGCGAAAAGTGACTGCTGCAAACTGAGCCAAGGAAGTGAAACTTGTGTTGTAGGGGGCAGAAAACTCAACTGGAGGGCTACTTTGCCAGGGTCGAAGAAAGGAAGAAAGACAAAAGAGATAAAAAAACATCGAATACGCTATTTTGCCACTGTTTTTTTTTTAAGCAATAACCAATAGAAATCTGTCATTTTTAAAAAGAGTACAATGTCTATTGTACAAAGGACAACAGACAGCGCGGGCAGATAGTCCGTTGTCCATATGAACCGGTGTCGGCCGCGCGTTAATCAGTCAGAAAAATATGAGCTTTTCGTCGGGACAAACGAAACTGTCCGTTATGTGCGTGTGTCCGAATCAATTGGGTCCGTTGAGCGGGGTTACACTGAAAAAAGTTTCTATGGGAAATAAAGCTTACATTAAATAAATGAACTAAAATGGGTAAAGTTATCAACGTCAAGGCGTCTTTCTCTTTCACTCTACGAAGTTTCAGGGTGATTTACGCCCCGATCGATCTTCAAACCTGCTTCACTACTGCTCCAAATTTCGCACAAAATGCACGCAATTTCTAGGCTATGTTCACAATAGGAAGCTCAAGCAGCGACGTTTTTCAGCGACGCGCGTCAACCAGAAGTGAGCCTTTTTCTCCCTTAATATGCTTTGACGCTACCAAATTTGTATGGCTAAGTGTCCTTACTCTAAAAGAGACGATTTGCCCAAGAATTTATAGAAACTCACGACCGAAAAGTGAAAAAGTCCACTTCCGGTTGACGTGCGTCGCTCAAAAACGGTCGTTGCTTAAACTCCCTAGTATTGGATAGCTTCTGTTCACAGATAAACAATCAGTGATTGCGGCAAGATTTCTGTAGCCGAACAAAGCTGCGCTGCGCCGATCTCTAAAGTGGAGAGTCACATATTACATCGGATAAGTGTTCAAACTATACCGCATAGATTTCCGTGCCTTACATTTTGCACCGCCAAAGTCACAAAGTAATTCCTTAAGATCCCGCAATTCAGGTCGTAGCGTTCAACCTGGCCTCTTGACCGCACAACTCTAAGAAGATCTAACAAGAGTTTAAAAATTAAACCGGCACCATTCATGCGTTTCCCTCAAAACTCTCATATTTACACTCATGGCCACCTGTACTGACCGTTAAAGATTTTTGGCCTATTCTCAGCTTTTCTGCGCAGCAAGCAGTTTCGCACGAGTTCGTCAAGAAATTCGGGATGATTGCAAAAAAGAGAAAAAAATTCGCGCAATATTAAACTCGATCGGAAACGCTTCCTCCGCAGGCTAATTCTCAGCTATCAGTGAACCCCATATACATTAAGCCAGAACTCCTGAAAATGAACGAAAATATTGCAAACATTTTCAAGGCTGAATTTTAATCTTACCTATTTATAATTCACCAACCAGAAGAAATGACTGAGACTTTCATTAGGCCTCTCGTAGACTCGTACTGTTCTTTTAAATCTCATACCGCAACGTGCTAACAAATACGCGGGCTCACAAACAATCGCGCGATCTAAATTTGAATCTTAGCCTCGTTTGCACCTGGACCAATCAAATTAGCGAAACACCCGTGCGTTACTAGATGACGTCAGTATAGAGTATATAAGCACACGCCATCAGCCGAAAACCGCCAGTTTGCACTGACTTTCACTGTGTACTAGACTTACGCTACTGTTGTCGAGAGAAAAGTTGCTAAAACTCTCCCGAAATGGGTTGTAACCAAAGCAAAGTGAAATTTCAACAAGTGTTTAAGAGAAAAAGGGTAAGCGCAAGTTAGCCCTTGATGATTTATTTGTAATAAACCACAAAAAGTGATGTTTTAAGCGTATTTTAGCTGTGCGCTAGGACCGCGAGCGATATCCGTTGAACAATTATGGCGTCACCATTGCCATATAAGGGAAAAAATTAAATAAATTCTGACCAATCACAGGACACCGTCTTCGGCGCCAGCTTAACCATATAAGGAAACAAAATGAGATAATTCTGACCAATCACAAAACATCGTTTTCAGGCCACTGTGTCATAGCGTATGCATAACCAGGAAGGGAAATAAATATAATTGAATGATTCAAAGGGAACAATTGTTGCTCCTGTAAATATCTAACTGTAGTAATAGTTCACCATTAGCATAGAATGCCTAAAATGCCCGCAATTCCGCAATAGCTTAGGCTGTCCATAAATGTAGCAGCGTGTTTTGTCGACGTCTCGAGTGTGTGCATTTAAAATAGAGGGATTAAGAGTCACGTTTGCGACAAACGGCAAACGTTCAAGTTAAAACATTTCTCAGAGGAGAAAATAAGCAGATAAGAACTGTCCAGAACAATTCTTATGGTTAAAACTGGTGTAAAAGTACTTATTTTTAAGTAGAAGTAATAAACAGTAAACGACAATTAAGGGGAAAGCTTGGTCTGGTGGTACAAATTCAACTGTCGATCACTTAACTCTCAGCGCGCGCACGTTTAGTAACTAAATTTATAAATAGTCTCGCACAGAAATACTGTTTTAGCCGGGTTTCTACCAGTTTTTAACCTAAAGGCCGTCAGATTAGACCTGATAATCAAATTCCCAAATCATCGGCAAAATGTCGGCATACATGGGCCAGAATCAAAAAATGCTTCAAATGCCAACAAGCATCGAGTTGACTTTTAACCGCCTCCGCTCTTGTTTCATTGTATCACAATTAGTGAATTTAAAAATATAACGAATTCAATAATCAAAGTACTCATTCGTTAAAAACTAGAATAACGTAAGACTTTATCATTCCGAAAGAAAAAAGGGGTTCAAATGAGTTTAAATGTTGCAAGCTTCATAGGCACAGCACTTCAACTGAACTTTTGTCTTGGTAAAAAAAATTGAAAGTGACGCAGAGCCCGGAAGACTAAAATAGGTCATTTCAGAGTTGCCCCAAGTATCTGTTTCAAAGCGAGGTTTAGCGCAAACCATTTATATGCAAATGAATTTAATTTATTCTCATGCAAATTGAAGTCATTTTCACAAAAGTTTTTGCCCTTAGCCTTGTTTTGAAAGTGAGGGATTTGGGGACGCGGAAATAGCCTGATTGCTCCAGCCAAAATCTGCAAATGCGAATAATTCCAAAATTGATTTCGGCTCCTTTTAAGTCATTAAAGAACTCAGTAAATGCAGAATAGCATACTTATGACAAGAGAAAGCTGAATAGCTTAAGCTAATGAATAGCACCTTTTTTTGGTTCTCTTAGGCGACCAAGAGAACAACTACTTGGTATGTGGAGTTTGAAACTGAAGCTCAATGCAGTTATGAATTCAGTTCGCCTATCAATCAAACAACTCCACAGAAAACAGCCCCAAAATTCACCACCCACTATGAGAACAACACCTCTCCTTTAACTTTCATGATGAGGAAAGATAGCGAGTGGGTGGAGTTATACGATCAAGAAGAATTGATAACATGTTTGAAAACATGCTTGAACTATGAAGGTGTTCTTGAAAATGGAACACATGTTTTTATGCTTACTCCAAGGCAGCTGCTAGAGATGAAAACCAATGAAAATCAATGTATTTATGAACTACCCTGGAAGGGCTGTATGGCCTTGGAGTACTTTATTAGGTAAGTGAAAAGTATGCTATAATACAAAACGAAAGTCCGGCGTTTTTGCGTAATAAAATTTGACCTTACTTAAACGAAATTTTACTTGAAAAGCAAAACCCATTATAGGCTGCGTTGGCATACTAAGAAGCGGTGAGATTACTGTCTCGATTAGCTATGGTTTGCGCAAACGTTCTGTGAATCACGACAGAAAATGTGCAAGCGCTGACAGCAATTTGGTGCTAAAGGGTTGTTATGCGCGTCAAATCATCACTCTTAAGGAAAAGTAGATCTTAGCGAGAGATCGGATTGTTGCACCCGAAAAGAAAATTGAGTAATATCCACATAGTTACTTAGGCTATCCTTGAAAAGTGTATAGCTATCCCCAACAATTTTGTTCCTCTTGCTAAGAATTCTTTGCCAAGTCATCAGGATATCATCCGTGAAAAATAACTTAAGTTTGTATCGACAGGCAATGTTCTGGTTAGCAAATCTAATGGTGCGCAAAACTGGGCATTCACGTAAGAATTTCACATTTAGATTGGTGTAAACAGAGACAGATTCTAACTCCTAATCTTTCCATGTTTTAATTCCACAGCTATATTCAAAAAGCAATTGAAACAAAGGTTGAGAATGATCCCTTTGTTATTGTCTTCGAAGACAATGACAATGAACCAGGTTGTAGCAAAATGTGCACCAATCTGATTAAAAAGACCTGCCAAAGACTGCAGATGAGGTATGCTAAAAGATCATAATACACGTCGTTTAGTCTGCTTTTGAAACACTGAAGTGCAAGCTGTGTTTCTCGATTCCTACCCCAGTTTCTTGGACTTCTGATCTTTCCGTTCCCGGCCATCCCCTTTCTCTACCCATATGTTCTTCTTCTTTTTGCTCATCTTCCTTTTTTCTTTCAACGTCGTCTTTAATTTCGTGTGCAAAAGATGCTGTAGATAATTAAAATCAGCTTTACATTCCCTGCCGGTAATTGTTTCAAGTATACTCATAACGTAAAAACTAACTTTTAGTACGTTTCATGCTATAATTACCGGTTTTGAACAGAAAGGAAAAG